AAAAAAAAAAAAAACCAAAATAGCCTAAAGCTCGAACAATTGCTGAAACCCGAGCTTCCGACTTTCCGAGCGGTTCGTATTTGAAATTTCAATGGGATGAAAAAAAAACAAAAAACCGAAAAAAGAACCCTCCATTTCTCGTCTTCCCAAAAACCCTTCGAAACCTCAAACTCTTCTTCTTCTCCTTCATCCTCATTCTTCATAGTCCATCACAAATCCTACACATATAAATTCACTATACAAGCACGCACACACACTCTTGCGTTTATTAATCTAGTTTGAATTTACAACTGTTGTCTGTGAGATGCGCCATAGCTATGCAGAAGCTGCTGTGCAGAAGCCCTTCCTCTTCTGGCCACTTCATAATCTCCATTAACACGCCCTTCTCACTTCCCTTCTCGAGCCCCACCTTTCCCCCTCTGGATTTTAGCGGCGGGGCCTCCAGAATTATCCAGAGGATGTCTTACTCCTCCTCCGCCGCCGCCGCTCTCCGCTGTCCGCATCCCCTACGCCTCCGGTCGGCGAACCCCCTTCCTATGGACGCGCGTCAGGAGCTCAAGCTCAGGGAAACTCGGAGACCCTTTTACCGTGTCCGTCCCTGCAGCCACCCCGCAGGAGTCGGCGGTGGAAAGCTGCCGTTTAGGGCATGGGTGGTCGTGAAGGATAGAGGAGGCGGCGCCGTCGGTGGTGCCCACAGGGCTTGCTACGGGACGCAGGCGGGTAATTTTGATAAGGGCGACGGTGAAATGTTGACTGCAAGTGAAGTTGAGGTCGACGGAGAAAATGCGAAAGGGAAGGTGCAGAGGAGGCAGAGAAGTGGCTGCGGCGGTGTGGCGCCGCCGCCGGTGATCGGGAGCCCGGATTTGCTGACAATACCAGGTGTGGGGCCCAGGAATCTGAGGAAGCTGGTCGAGAAAGGGTTTGAGGGTGTGGCTCAGCTTAAACAGCTCTATAAAGACAAAGTATGTGGATTTGAGCCTTTTGTTATCCTTTATTTACATGTATCTTTTATTGGAACTGAGTAGTTTATATTGTAGTTGGGATCTTCTAGTGGTTTGAAATATGAAATTTTAGTTATGAATCATATGCTGTTGAGAAAGATTAGATAGGAAAAAGAATATGATATGAATGTATTCATGTTTTGATGGATGGACAATTGGTGTTGGTATGCAGGATTTAGTTTAAGGTGCAATCGTACGTGTTGTGGCCGAGAGGTTGAATTGTCTGTGAGTACGAGGAAAAAAGATTCAATTTTCTTTTTTCCATATACATTATTTTAACTTTTCTAGATATTGTTTGGCGTCCACTTTCAAACAATAACTGGGTTTAAAGATCTTTGAACGACATGGAAATTTTGTGGTACAATGGATTTATGTTATGAACTTACTATGCTCCTATTGCAATAAACGTGCATTTCACTTTGGTGCAGTTTTTCGGTAAATCCAGCGAAAGAATGGTGGAGTACTTGCAGAGCTCGGTAGGTATCATACACAAGAATCATGCTGAGAGTATAACCACATTTATCAAGGAGAGTGTTGATGAAGAACTGAAAGAGGACAATCCAAGGCCGGCCCAAAAGAAACGAATCACTCTGTGTGTTGAAGGAAATATTAGTGTTGGGAAGACTACTTTTCTGCAGAGGATAGCTAATGAGACGCTCGAACTTAGGGATCTTGTGGAAGTCGTGCCCGAGCCGATTGACAAGTGGCAGAATATTGGCCCCGACCACTTTAACATATTAGATGCTTTTTACGCCGAGCCTGAGAGATATGCGTACACGTTCCAGAACTATGTCTTTGTCACTAGAGTTATGCAGGAAAGAGAGTCATCTGGTGGGGTTAAGCCCCTCAGGCTGATGGAGAGAAGTGTTTTCAGTGATAGGATGGTAAGTATTTAGCTTCTTCAGCTTTGTTAATAACTATTGAATCAACCAAAAACCCAAAAAAGAAAGAAAAAAAAGAAGAGAAAAAAAGGTCATGAAAGGAAGAGAAAAGGAAGTAATTTGTGGCTTTGAGCTGAAGAAAAATTATTTTTAGGTGTTTGCATATGATAATTTTTGCAATGTGCTTCATTTAATGCAAGCCGGTGTGTTAAAGTGCTTGTTATTTGGAAAAGTGATCATGATCATGGAGATTAACCCACTATCTTAGGGGGGTGTATTCAATTGAGATTTCTATAGACTTTTTAAGACTTCAAAAATCCTGATGTAACTCTTCAAGATTTTGAAAAAGTCTTGAGGTATTCATTTTGGATTTTAAAAAGTCTTACAAAATTTTGAGGTATTTAACTTATTTGAAAATTATGATTTGTTAAGACTTTTTATGATTTGCTGAGACTTCTAAAGAAAAAAACATATACGAAATCCCACTCAAAATTCCACCTCTAGACTTAAACAAACTTAAGATTTCACCGGGTTCCTCCAAAATCTGGAAATCTTAAAAAATGTCGAATCTGAAAGTGTCTCTGAATGTCACTCAAAATCACAAACGAATTACAATGTCCATATAAACGACATTATTATTATTATTTTTTTTATGCGCCTTTTATTGACATTCTTGCTTAAAAGGTCTTTGTGAGAGCTGTTCACGAGGCAAAGTGGATGAATGAAATGGAGATCAGCATATACGATTCGTGGTTTGACCCGGTTGTCTCGAGCTTGCCTGGTCTTATTCCTGATGGCTTTATCTACCTCAGAGCAAGCCCCGACACTTGCCACAAGCGCATGATGTTGCGTAAGAGAGCTGAGGAGGGTGGGGTCTCTCTCGACTATTTGCACGATTTGCACGAAAAACACGAAAGCTGGCTTTTCCCTTTCCAGAGTGGAAATCACGGGGTTCTATCCGTGAGTAAGCTCTCCAATAATATCGACTGGTCTTTGCATCCCAATATAAAGGATCGGGTTTTTTATTTGGATGGTGATCATATGCACTCGAGCATCCAAAAGGTATAATTTTATTGTTATCATCATCGTAATTATTGTTGTATGTTATCTTTAACGTACCTTTATTTTGCAATGAACAGGTTCCTGCTTTGGTTCTTGACTGTGAGCCGGATATTGATTTCAACCGGGATGTAGATGCCAAGCGAGAGTATGTTGTCTTTCGTTTTTTCTAATTATATGTGCTTTTTGAAAAATTTCCACATTTCGCAGCAAAATCTGTTATATACTAATAATGGGTTTCTTCATATATATTCTTCAAACTTGCGAATTGCATTGCAAGGGTGTAAAAATTATGAATCTCATTATAGTAAAAGTTTTTCATTTAGTTCTCCAAATGCATTTCACATCCTTTGATCTGTATATCTTTCTCCCTTTCATCTCATTCTTTTCTTTCAATTAATTAATTTATCTTTTGGTAAAATAACCATTGGCTGTGTGAAGGTATGCTCGTCAAGTTGCCGAGTTCTTTGAATTCGTGAAGAAAGAGAAGGAGGAAGTTGCTGCAAGTGATGCTGGAGAAAAAGGTGCGAAGAGCAATAAAGGTCAGGTTTTGCTCCCTCCCCATGGGGATTTGTGGTTGCCCGGTACACAGCCATTCTCGGATTCTGCTCTAAAGTCGCTCGATTTTAGACGAGCCATATCGTCTTTCATGCCACAGTAGTTTTTTAGGTCATCTGCATGTTTCTGGTTGACGTATGTGTCCCAAGTGATGCTTTTTTATTTTCCTCATGTAAAAAGGGTGTGTGACTTGTTACATTTGTGTTTTCTTTAGTAAGTATTGTTAAGGTTTGGTTTTTTAGGTTGTGGATTGTAGTTTGCTGTTTAGTGACACCTTTAGTTTGTGTGGGAATTTGTTCTATTACAAAATTCTGAATTTCTTAGCTCAAATCTCTCTCTCTCTCTCTCTCTCTCTCTCTCTCCACAGTCCAAGTCTTTAATTTATGAGCTTGTGATATATATTCGGATGAAATGAAAATAAAGTCTTCCTAGAGGTGAAACAACTATACATGGTGTAACATTGAAGATTTTATCATAAATGGAACCAAAAGATCTTTGATAATGCCTATTCCCATATACAGAAAACATCTTGGATTCTATTTACAAAACCACTACAACTCCCTAAGCCTTACTGACAATAAATACATTCAACAAAATGAATCATAACCTCATAATTTACGACCAAAAACAAAAGGAAAAAAAAAATAAATAAAAAAAGTTCAAATGCCAAGATCGAATGAGGGAGACCCCAGAGCAGCAAGATTATGTTCTACTTCTACAGTATTGACTGTTTTTGCTTTCGGATTCAAACACTCAGATTTGAAGCCAAGCAATTTAGCAGCTTCGGCTTCAATCGCATCAAGATCCAGACCATCGTAAAATCCATCATCGTCGAATATATCTATATTATTATTATTATCCTCTGTTCTGTTCACTTTCTGAATCTGCATGGATGAGTTTTCTTTTCCTTCATTTTTGGATAATGTTGAGAACTCTGTGTCTAAGTTGACCACAGGCACTGACTGAACCTGGTAATGGCTCAGTTTCCTCTTCCGGCTATCCAGTGATGTCCCGTTGTTCTCGTTACATGCTATCCTGGCTGTTGACTGTAAGCCCGTCTGAGGGGTAGTTTCGTCTTTTTGGCCCGATGAGCTTCCATTTTCGTCCAATCGGCCATTTGGGACCACAGAGTCGGGACTATAGCTTGTCGGCAGCATCTGAAATGGAGATTGACTGAGCAATGACCGCCTGCACCAGTATATGAGAGAGAGAGAGAGAGAGAGAGAGAGAGAGAGAGAGAGAGAGAGAGAGAGAGAGAGAGAGAGAGAGAGAGAGTGATGAACTGAACATCCATGACCGGAGAGCAAAATCAAGAAGCTATAAAAAGGAATAAGGGTAATTTCAAAATTACACCAGAATTATAATTGAACTCTTAGACTATGTTTGGTAACCAAATAAGCTAAAAGTTAGCTTATTTGGTTAGCTTATAAGCTTCATGTATTCAAATAAGTTTCGTTTGGTAGGACGAGCATAAGCTTCTTTGGGTAGCTTTTCAAATAAACTTGTTGGAATTTTGATTTCAGCTAACTTATCAGTTAATTTTACCAAACACTTTTATCAATTATCATAAGCTAGCTTTTTAGCTATAAGCTATAAGCACAAAAATCACTTATAAGCTATAAGCTATAAGCTAGCTTATCAATTATCAGCTAGTTTATCCAAACATAGTCGTAATAGACGCAATCATCTTTGCAGAATTACATAAACCTTCTCGACATTTATTTCTCTATTACAATTGTAATCCTTTTAGTGAGGTATATAGTTTTGAGGACTGAGCATTTATTTCTTGGTCTCGAAGAGGAGAAAGACAATTTAAGAATTTCGAACCTGTAAATTCCCATCATGTCAGGCCTACTGGTACCGGCCTGTGTGCTAACAGATGTCATGTTCACACCATCGTCTATGAAGCTGTCTTCATATGAACTGTCATCTTGCTCGTCCTCCTCATTGTCAGATGCCGCACTCTCTGATGATACTCTACATTTGTTCGCAGAAAGTAAGTATGAGCAGAAAAACTTCCAAGACCAGTCTAGCCAAGTATACGTTGTTTTAAGATATACTTTTCGGAAAATGAAGGAGAAATTTGTTAAAAGTGATATAAGTAAATAAATAAACTTTTTGGGGCTCTTTTTTCTTGGATACAAAGGGTTTATTTAAATTCTTACTATTTATTCTCTCCATAAGCAAAAGAATTTCAAAAGCACTTCTTTTATTTACAGAAGTACTACAGGAACCCCTTGCATTCAACTATGAGGGTCAAATGTCAAGGGTACTTGACACTTTCCAAAACATTTGGGTCCTTCTGTAAATATATCAAACCTCAGGGGCAATTTTATAATTAGACCAATGTTTTAAATTAATTTTGCCTACTAAATTGAAGCCAAACGCACAACTCCAGCAATCTCAACCTCAGCTGATGCACTTACTCTGCTTCCTCTTCAATATATACAGCAGCATCTGTTGCTCTCTTCTTCTTACCTGAATGTCCAGACCCAAGAGAATAATTAAAAAAAAAATGTGATTCTGAAATGTTATTAATCTAAAATAACAAATTCTACACAAAATCAGACTATTTAACCTTTGACAAGCTTAGTTGGCACTTGTTTGTCAACCCCCTTTGAAGTTTGAAGTTTTCTTTTCAGGTCCGTTTGTTCCTCAGATCGCAAAGGAAATTTCAACTCGTGATCTCCAAGCTTCCGCAATCTTCTCAACTTGCGTGGCTGCTCGACTGACTGAGGTTTCACTTCAGAATCCAAAAGCCATTCTTTGCTACCGCTAGTGCTTGATACTGTAGCAAAAGGAGATTGCTTTTCTAAGCCAAATTGAACGGGTGACGTGCGGACACTTGGCGAGCTAGATTTGTGTAGTACAGGCGTTTGCATGTCATTATTAATATCACTCGGCAATTGGACGTCCATTTTACCCGGGCCGCCATCTTCAATCATCTTTTCATCGTGATTTTGAGTTCCTGTTCTCAAAAGTGCATGCAAAAGGATATTGTTAACTATAAGTAGGCTTCATTACATAGATTAAGTATACTTGAGACTTTATTTTGCCTTCCGTTTACTGTTTCATGAAGGGGAAACAAAATCCTCTATCACATTTACAAGAGTATAACAGTTAGACCAATAAAGTTTTAAGACTGAATTTTCAGATTTTTCTGCAATTTCCAAAAGTTAGTTGTTTCTTCTTCTCTTTTTTTCTTTCTTTTGAAGGAAAAAAAGAAAAAAGAACAAAGAATAAAACCGCAATGGTACTACCTGTAATAACTAAAAACCCTCCTAAACACTATCCATGAAGTTCATCTCAATTTCATAAACCATAATTATCTTCCTTACAAGTATCCCCTTCTTCAGAGTGTAACAGTGAATAAAGAAAAAATGTCAACTTGCAATATTGGGATTTTTTTTGTATTTAGGCCAAACTCCAGGTAAATATTTACTAATAATTCCAATTATATATAAAACCAAAAAGAGGTTCCTGAGGATACAAACCAGTACTAATCACAGGAGATTCTGGAACAACGCCGCTTTCGATGAAGTTAGTCAGTCTCGGACTAAGTTCAAAATCTCTAAAATCACCACTCGGCTCATGCACCAAATTATGATCGTCATCAGACATTTCCATCTCGTTTGGCTTTCTGCTCGAAACTGGGGACACAAGAATTTCGTCTTCCCCAAAAAACAATTCATCCTTTTGCACAATTCTTTCATCACGACTTTGATAACGCTTTGAATGGCACACAAAAGCAATACTGTTACTATTTTCAGTATGTTTACCAATGGAACTGAGGGGCAATTGGGGTAGTGATGAAACCAAAACATTTCCAGCATCATCGACTGATACGAACTCTGAACCAAAAAGAGGTTTATGCACACAAAGCTCAAGTTTTTTAAAGTCTTTAATACACGTATCTTTTGCAAAACCTTCAACTTCTACATCATCTTCTACTTCCTTTTTCAATTCCGCATCAGCAAGATCAGCCGACTTCTCTGTAAGAGAAAAACATAAAGGCAAAAAAAATATATATATGTAATGCCAATATAATGAATATTCAAGTGAAGGCTTACAGAAAAATTGGAAGATGAGATGCACAAATAGAAGGTATGCATCCATGGCTATTCATTTTATTAATTTTTTCTTCTTTTCCAATTTTTAACTCAAGTGAATATCATAAGTGTAAGGTCCTCAAGCCGTGCGAAAAAGGAAAGGCCTATTCTATTGTGATTTTTTACCTTCCATCAATTTTTCACGAGACTCCTCTGCTTCAACCCTGAAGAAAGGATCTATAATATCTTCATCCTGGATCAAGAAAATATGGTTCAAGAAAATTGGGACGAATATCAATGGAGTGTCAGAAAGTCCTACATAGAGCTAAAAAATAAACAAACCTCAGAAATAAGAGCTTTGTCATCTTTAGAACATGGAACCCCTTGCAAAAGCTGCATTGTATCTATTAGCATCCCTGTTCTAGATGAATGGACGATTTTGTCCACAGGGGATGGAAATGCTTGGAAGTGCGGAAAGGCAATGAGAGAAGGTCTCCATGAACTTTCCAAACCAGGGGCAAAATACTTGGAAAGTAGACTCGACTCAGCATCGGTTAACCTGTTCTTGTATGGCGACATCGGGACCGGGTCACAATCTCTGATTTTCTTCCCACGAGGGATGAATTTTTCAATTGACATCTCAAGATATTGCACTTCTGGTCGGAAAACATGTGGGACCTGCAAATAGATATGTGCATAGGATGTAAGAACTGGGGTATAACCATATAGGCTTCATTAAATTCCAGTGTATATTTTATACAACATCTTATTTTTGTTTTCTTTTTAGGAGAAATAACCAGGAATAATTTGAGAAAAAAAGAAAAGGAGAAAAATGTATACCATTCTTGGACTTGGATGGAAATTAAAGCTACTCCTTCCACCATTGTTCATGTGTTTCTTAATAGTGTTTCCCTTTGCTTGCTTTCGCATGTAGCCCTTCATCTCTGACCCTTCACATGCTAAAACTAGTAAGCTAGCTAAGGAAGTGCATCCATACTGAATAATATTAAACAATCTGGAATCTTCCAGTTTCAAATAAAAGATTCAGGTATGCACAAAAAGTAACAGATTAATTTTTTAAAAAAAAAACAAAAAATAGAGGTGGACAACACCTTAAGTCTGTTGAGTCTCCAATATAAGGGGCAATGGTAATATTTCTACAAATATGCTTATAAAAAAAGTCAAAAGAATCAGAACATCCAGAGACAGGGGAAAAAAGGATATCAACACGTCCTTTGTGCTTCCTTCCAGTCCTCCCCATACGTTGAATCATTCTCAAAGGCGAGATATTAGCGTCAAAGCATATGACGAGATCGACCTCCATGATATCAAGGCCTTCTTCACCAATTGATGTTGAAACTATCACGTTGTAGCCACCTGTTCGAAATTTCTACAGAAACAAGTCAGATAAAATCGCTGAGGACCGGAAGATTCCAAATGGTAATAGCCAATAGTACCTGTAAAACCGCCTGTTGAACCTTTTGTGATTGCCCCTTTGAGTTTATTCCTGCAGAGGAAAAGAACAAGAAAGCGTGAACTATTATTGCATATCAATTCCTAAATTTCTGTAAGCCAACATGTCCAATAACACTTTGGTAATTGTTCTTCGGCAAGAAACCTGAGCTTTGTCCAATGAACTCGGTAGCTTTAACAAACTCCCCGATGTTTGTGAGTGCATTGAGAATGTCCCTAACATTTAAACAATTATTGTTAAAATTACTCTTTGCCTATATTACTGCTTTGATTAAACATTGCAAGTACGATTTATATGCAGAAATAAAAAATCGAGATTCACCTGACACTGCCCCTAAAATTCGAAAAGATGATGACCCTGGAGCTTCTCGGATCATTTGCTTCTGCACCACAATTTCCAAATGTCAGCAGGACTAGAAAAGCATTTACCACGTTAAAGAAAGTGGATGTAATGCTACATACTGAAATGGTCAGTAAGTACTTCCAACATTTTTGCCAGTTTGGGACTGGGGGCGCCATGGGAAATAGTTTGCTGCATTAAGAGTTTTGCTTTCAGGAGAATCTCATTTCTACTGACCAACCTTGCGAAAGACCTGCAAATTATTACGCTTAGTGAAACTTACCAGTTATGGATTTTCAGACGAAAACAATCTTTATAGTGATAAGTCATAACTCATAATTAAATAATGTCACTGAATAAAACTGTAGAAATGTCAACTAGTCATCATTTTAATAAATTTTCACTATTTTCACAATATGTGTGCAGTTTCTAGTTCCAAGTTTTTTCAGTAAAATTATAATAATTATAAGATGATAAATAGGAAAATACCCTTGTTTCAGTTTTTCCTCAAGCATCTCAAATGCAGGTCTTATCCCATGGCTCGAAAGCAATCTCCTTACGTGGCACAATGTTAGAAGAACCCCAAAATAACCTTCAACTTCTCCATACTTCGTAACCGGAATGTCTTGTGGGGGTACATCACGAAATTTGTCCCTTGAATTAAGCAGTTCAGGGGGGCTAAACTGTAAACCACCAATACATGATTAAACGCAGAAATGAACAGTTAAGGAGGACGTAATTTGACTTGATATAGAAACAGCATTGAAGTCCATAGGTGGTGGAACTAAAAGCAAAAATGATTTTATTATTTATATGTCAAGTCAAACTGCATCGTCAAGTCCATCTCTAATCTAGCTATACTCTCAAACTTCATTCATTTTCTTTCCAGACACAAATATTCATCACTGTTCTAGAAGAAAAATATTCCAACATGGAAGTATAAAAAACACCTGAAAATTGTCCCTATATCTCAAATTTAAGATATAAAAGGGTACAGAAACATACTGTCTGGAAATCTCTCTTCTGCATCACTCCATACGCACTAAGACGGGCAATAAAAGGGCGGGCAACTTCCATAATCAGATTATCTACTTCAACAGCCTCGTTACCCATAGCAACCTAACAGAATATCTGTTATTCCACGTATGCATTTAGGGTTCATTTCATAATTCCAAATAACTTTCCGTTTCCAGGTACCTGAATTAGCTCCATCTTTCGGTCATTCACATAAGGAAGGACATCAGGATCACTTTCGCTACGATACTCAAGTGTTGATATACAAAGATTGTCAATCACATTTTGAATTGTCAGGTGTTTGGCTGAAACATGATCAATAAGATCATTTTCATGAAAAAAGAAGAAAAAAATCGAGAATATCACATCAATTATATTATTCTGCCACAATATACTTACATCCTGGTGTTGCGGTCAATGCTAATATTCTTAGTTCAACGGGAACATCCATCAGCTGCACATAGCATTAAGCCGTCTCTACTTAATTATGCAGTTATAGTAAAAGTGATTATAGAAGGTAGTTGCCACTCTAAAAGATTTGGAACTAGTAAGCATGTGTTGATGTGGTAGCTCCAAAAAAATACACGAAGCTCATACACTTTAGGTTTATAACTAAATATAATAATATACGAACAAAAGAAATAAAAATTGATGAACTGGAATCAAATCCCACCTCTCTTATGAAGCTTATCACGTACTATATTTTCTAGCAAGTCTAATTCTTAATGTGGAAAAACCAACATTGTAATAGGAGAAAGAAGTGACTAACCTCACGGACGGCTACACAATAGGAATAGTTTCCTGTAGCACGATGTGCCTCATCAACCACCAAGCATACAAGATGCTTCACTAAACATGAACCTACATTGTAAGATCAATTAGGAAAATTCGTTAGCAGTTAATAACAGGCTCCCCCACAGTCATTCTAGAGTAAGTTTTCTGTCCATGCCAGCATTGTCCAAACCTTCAGAAGGCTAAAATAAAGATGATCTTTGAATAAATAGATAGATATAGAAAATCAGATGACAACTTTAATACTATTTTACTAATATCTATTTTCCGTGCATATCAACATTTTTTTAAAACTCAAATGTATATATTTATTTCAGTAACAAACCAGAATGTATATCCTTCTCCAGAACTTGTGGAGTAACAAAGAAAACTCGTCTGTCTTTCCATAAATCGGCTCTTCTCTTGGGATTTGTTTGGCCAGTAAGATCAATGGTCCACTCCTGTAATCAGTGTAATGAAAAATTAGAATCATTCTAAAATAGACAAGTCATACAAACTCCTCAAGATGGACCGTATAAGCAAATAGAAGTACAAGATGCAATAATCATTGGCTTACTTGAGGAATTCCAACTATATTATGGCAAGCTTCTATCTGTTGCAGGACAAGTGGACGAGAAGGAGCAGCAAAAACAATTTTTCCTACAAAACATGCAGAATAACTGTTGTAAATACAGCATATAAAAGGTTATCAACATAATTCTCAAAGAAATAATGGAGTAAGTCAACGCATGCATACTTCAGAAAAATGCGGTCAAGCATAAAAGAAAAGTACTCATCTCTAGTGCGTGATTGTTTTTTTGTATATATAATTTCTTTAAATGAATAAATATGACATTTGTTATCATAAGATAAAAAAAAGATTCTATTATGCATCATTGATTGTCCATTGCAAATGGAGCTGGAAGAGTCATTGTTGACAATTCTCCTGGCATAGTGCTAATAATGGACTAGATCAAAATGGCTTAATTAAATTCTAGTGGTTCTTCTATTAGTGAAGTTTCTAGAAAAAAAATATATCAAACGGCGCAATGCACCTTGGGTTGCTACGAAAACAGCCTCCTTGTATAATTACAAGGGTAAGGTCTGCGTACAACTGACCCCCCCAGACCCCAACCTGTTGGGAATATACTGGGTATGTTGTTGTTGTTGTTGTTATTATGCATCATTGCATAACAAACAAAAAATAAATATAAAGCAGCGGAGAAATAGATTCTTAAACTTCACAAGGTTGGATTACCTTCAGGAAACCACCTAAAATAATTATACATGACAACTGCAGCAATAAGAGTTTTTCCAAGTCCTGTTGGCAAGACAACTAATGTGTTGGAAAATAGTGCGGTCTTTGTGATGGAGAATTGATAATCACGACGAGGGATATTCACTGCCACAAACAGCAAGAAGAATGTTAGATCTACAAGTCGAGAGCATTGTGGTGACACTTGTAATTGCACCTCGAAAACCAAATTTTGAGAACATTTGAAAGCTACTTCAATTCTAATACTTGACGTAAACAAAATGAAATCTCAAGTGAATATTGAGAGTACTAAATGCAAAGCCGAAGCCAAAATAGCTATTGAATTCATTAAATGAGAAAAACTTTGAATTAATCAGTGTTTTTGAAAAGTTTAGATAATTAAGATTTCTGGTAACGAGTTACAAATAAGCAGAGACGAAAATATTTGACTGTTGGGACATAGGTAGGTACTGTTAAATCTCTGAGAGAATAAAAGAGAAAAGGCAAAAACAGCATTTTCAGCAATTTATGATAATTTACACAATACGCCTTCATGAAAAAAGTTTAGACAACAAAAGAACCTGGATAAATCCATGTCTTGGCAGCTTCAGGATCAATTGCCACGCATCTATTAACCATTTCAGCATACTCACACTCAGCAACACCGCCACCATTCTCACAAACAGCATAACCACCACTACCATTATTCCTAGCCAACCCATTCGAAGATTCGACCTTTCCCAAAAACTTCTTCGAATTTCCGGAGGAAACCCCAATAAAATTATCTAATGTAGACTGTCTAGTGGAAGACAATGAACTATAATTAACATCAATTTTCCCCTTTCTCTGCAATTCCTCAGAAGGTCCCGAACAATTTTGGGGATGATTGCAGTTGAAATTAGAATTAAGATTAGAAACGGAGGCGGGCAATTTCCCAGCAGCAACTGCCTCGCACGCCTTATCAATCTCCTTCACAGCTGCATCCCAATCCATATCCTAACGTAACAAAATAAAGGGGGAAACAAATAGCAAAAAAAATCGCCAATTTTTTACGTTCTTCGTGATTTTATGAAGCTGCGAACTGTACATTAACAGGGAAAAGGCCATCTAATTATGAATTGATGAACTCAACTTACATCATCATAGTCCGCGTGCAGAAAAGTGGGGCTGGAAGCCATGAACGTCTCTTTCGCAGAGCTTGTCGATGTTCTACCAGTTAATTTGCTTTCACATTTCCATTTCTACCGCTGATTTTTGCTTGAAATTAACTGGTTTTTTATGTGTGGGCTTCTCAGGGAAGTATACGATGGGGCAAAAGCGCAGAGATAAAGAGCGGCAAAATGGTGCTTTGTTTTAATTTAGAGCGATAGATGTGTAGACAAGTTGAACCGAATTCCAGCTACTGATACTCGAGTTTTTTATTAGCTTTTACATTTTAGTTTTTATTTACACTAATCCTCAAGAAGCATATAAACAAATTCGAACTCGACTCGTTTATCAATATTAATGAACTAAATAATAATCTTAATAAGTTGAATTTGATCTTATATAAAAAAATAAAATTTTAAGTACAAAACTCGTATTCTTGAATATTTTCGACTTGGCCGGTTAACTCAAAGAACTTTAAATGAGATTGATGTCGGCTTATTTGATAAATGAGTCGAGCTGAGCTCTAGCCGACTCGAATTTACTAGTGTAGTTTGTTTCGTGTAACAGCTCTAAAACCCAACTTAAGATTGGCCCGTTAGAAACAGTCAAAGCCCAGTTCATGAAGCCCAAATAAGCATCGCACAAACAGTCGAATAAGCTTGGGCCGTTAGAAACAGTCAAAGCCCACCTCATGAAGCCCAAACAGGCATAGCACGTGCAAGTCGCACGTGGTTCACAGTCCTGTGCAAAATAGCAATCGAACCCTCTCGTCAAGCTCCATTTTTGCCTTCACATTTTGTTTGTTCTCTCCGCAACTCCATTCTACGAATCGCGAGATGGCGATGAAGAGCGGCTTAAGGTTTTGCGCTTCCAAGCTACTGGGTTCTTCTCCTTCGATTGCTCCCAAATCAGGTCTATTATTTCTCAATTTGTTTTTTGCTTTTTTTTTTTTCTCCCAGTAATTTTCCTTCGTTTTGGTTACTGGATCTGTTTGGTTGATTTGTGCTATGTATGATAAATTTTATTTTTTTCGAGTGTGAATCGTACGAGTGTTTGATTTCATTTGTGCATACATGGTTGCACCCTCGTTTTGTTTTAGCTAATTAGATGAATCGAGGGTCTTATGCAAATTTATGGTGGTTATTTGTGTTGTTTGGTTGGAGAAATGTTAATTTGGGTTGAAGGGGCTTGTTAAGAAATGGATAAGCAGGTCATGTATAAGTGTATTTGTGCTCTTACTGCAGAATGATTAGCTAGCTCTGGTGTATGTACTATGTCAATGTGTAGTTTTAGACTGAGGTTGTGTGTTTTATCTGTGCAGAATATGTATGATGAGTGATGTGTTTTGATATCGAAATGGGATTCTATTTAATCAGGAGATGTTAGCGTTACAATTTTATTGGATCTTTTGCCTTTTGCCTTATAATTTCTCCAGCATTTTATCTCGGGGAAAAGACCAAATGGGCGGTGATGTTTGACCGACTCGTGATTGTTTTCATGAAGGCTTTCTGTTATTGAGACATGTTTTGTTTTATACTGCACAAGGAGAGCTGTTTTTGAATAGTTGATTCCATCACACTCGTTGGCTCGTCCAATAATATTCTTATTCCAAATGTTGGCTTCATCTTGTTTATTGATTGTTCAATGCCATTCAACATAATCGTTGAACTCTTAGCTTTTGCATAAAAAATGTTACTAAAGAGTTGTGGGTTGTTAGATTGATGACATTGGCTCAGAATCGTGTATCTTCTTAGATCAAATTCCTTGTTCTTGGGTCTCATATTCTTACTTTATCCACTTTCCAGTATCGTATTTGATTAGATGACTTGTTTGCATTTAACATAATGTGGTACAATTCATGCACTGCATTTTTGTAAAATTACTGTCATATATATTCATTTTGCCACCACGGCGTGCATTTCGCGTCATTGCTCGAAGGGGCTTCCACGCCTTTTTCTGGCTGACGTTCCTTTGTAAGTGCGGCTAGAATCTTGTATACATTTGGATGGGGTTTTGTGATAACTTTTTGTTTCGTGCGAATTGCAATTAACTAATGTACTGTCATCGAAATTCTGGTTTTGTGATAACTTCGCGTTTCGTGTGAATCGCAATTAACTTATTATATCTAGATGATGGAAGAGTATGAAAAAAGAAAAATGTTTTTTTCTTTGTATGGTTCATATTTCCCTTGAGATGGTATTGGTGCATGGGGTGTCATTTCCTTGTGTTTGGACCAGACAGTAGATAAAACCAGAAATGGTTTAAGCTGCCTGCATGTCGAAGGTTATGAATGAATCGATCTCTCATGTTTTTTGAGAAACTAAAATTATGTGCTGCGTAAAAAAATGTTAATATAGTTAAATTATCATAGGATATTGCGTTGTGCGCGTAAATAATTGGCTTCTTTTCGGATTTACATTAGTTCCATCTTGTGCTGCCCTTCCCCTCATCTCGGGTTTACCATTATACAAGAGAACTCTAGTTATCCTTTAATTATACAACTAATCAATTATCTTTGACAGGATGTATAAATATTCATTTGGAAAATAAAGTCTACTTACTGCACAGTTAACTATAAAATTTAGTTTTTTTCCATCTAAAGTAAGCAGTAGTAGTATGTATATTTACTCCATGATCATAATTATATGAAAATATGATCTTGTATGGACCAAATAACCAGTACTTGTGATATTCTTCATATTCTCTACAATTGATCTGGATCATACTATGGTGTATTTATATTTCTACCCACATAATATTGAATTTTTTTTTTCTTACAGTGAATAGGGGAATTCACTCGACAAGTGTGAAGAATATGGGAGGAGGACACGGGCATGACGAGCCCTATTACCTTCACGCAAAGCACATGTACAACTTGGACAGGATGAAAAACCAGAAACTCACAATGACTCTCGGTGTCCTTACTGCATTCAGCATTGGTGTTGGAGTCCCCATTTTTGCTGTCATCTTTCAGCAAAAGAAGACTGCCTCTGCATAATTATCTTAACTGATAAAAAAAAATGCACGTTTTTCTGTAATAACTGGATTTTATATTAGGTATGGTTCTTTTCCTGCAGAAATTATCAGGTTTCAAGCATTTGCTTCGAATTGGAGATGTTTGCTTGCATGTTTATTCTGGAAATTGTTGTTGATGACTTTGTTTGAAATGTGTCAGTGGCCCTTTTGAATCTTTTTCCGACGTAATAAATCTGTTTTTACCCGAGTATTTTTTTTTACCATCTCTTGTGGTGCTGCTAAAAGCTAGTACACTCTTGAAATATGTTTTGGTACATAATTTTACCACCACAGGCTACAGTTTCCCATTTGAAATTGCAGACAAGTGTGTGCAATGGACCACACAAAGGCATTACATTGCCTTTTGGAAAATGTATGTACAATAAATAAGTTCAAACATTTGATGTACTGTAATAAGATTCTCCTCCAGCTGTATAATTTCATCCTCTTGATATGTATCTTTTGTGTGGACATATCAAACAACTGTATACCTCTGTGGATTAATGTGCAATTAATTATGACTTACTGGCAAATGAAAATTGTCGAAAAATTCGAACCAAGGGTGAAATTGTTAGCAAAGATTGTGCATTTAGGTTGAATATGCCAAAATTGTCATTCGGGTCCATATCCAACGTTTGTTTTTTATGATTGACTATTAAAAAGAAGAATAATTTCCATTTCGATAAGAAGGGCGCCCATTGACATTAAGTCGACTAGCGAACAAAATGACTTTGTGTTCGATTTTGGCAAGCGTTAGTAAACAACTTTGTGTTCGATCTTGGCAAGCGTTAGTAAACAACCAAAGGAACGTGTTTGCAAACACATTCGTGAAAACAATCTATTACTAAACGAACAAACAAGCTCGAGCTACCACTAATGTATACAAAAATAATTTGTTTTAGCTCGTTTCGACTCGTTTGCACATCTACTTCTATACTAAGGTAAACCATAGGTGTGGTATAGGTTATTATTAATATTCCTTACAGACAAATATCATAAAAGATCTTCCCAACGGCCACTACAGAAGCAAATCCACTAATGGCATGAGATTTTGGAATCCAATATAGATAAACATAGACTTATTATGAGGCTAGTTTTTTTTTTTNGTTTAAGAGAATCAATGGGGGGAGAAAAAAAAAAGTGGTACCATGCTTTTTCTGAAATTGGACTATGGAAAAAATATGGAAAATAATAAAATAAAAAAAAAAAAGTAGACAAAACAAGGTGACCTGATTGATTCTCGCTTTATTTTTATTTTTTTTCAATTTTTCAGTTACTTTGTTCGTGCAAAATATTTATATTTTCATATAGTTTTATTTAATTTATAATTATTTTTTTCATTTTTTACTATGTGCAGCTGGAACTTTCTTCATCCAATTATTGAACTGTTTGAATTTCTGGTGTTTCTAGGGTCCAAAGGGTGCACTTTTAATTTAATTATTAATTAATAGAAAATTGATTTTTTTTAATTTATAACTTTCTGCATGTTTATCATTTCTCTTCAAATTAATCCACATATTCCTTTTCTGATGAACAAAGTTAATGAAATACGAAATTAGCTCCAGATTGACTTAGTTATTATGAGAAAAAAGAGAAAAGTATAAAATCAAAATGCTTAGGTGGTTGGCAATAGGGAGAGCCTCTCAATTATTGCATAACTTTATATTTTCATTTATATTTATGTATTGGCCTTGGTTTTCAATGGAATTTGATTATAGTATGATTTTATATGTTGACTTATTCATTTCCACCAATTCCACGAGGATAAATAATTCCAACACGCCACTTTCAAATATAGATAATAATAAAATGGTTCAAATTTCCAACAATTTTCTATCACCTTATATGCCCGGAAAATTAATATATCGATATATTATATTAGCCAAATTTCATTTTACACATTAATTTAGATCACATCAAATAATATCAATAAATTGATAGTTTTGTCAATTAAGGCGAGCTCCTAATATTGGAACTCTAATTAATGAATCGAATTATAAGAAAATACATAAAAAAAAGAATTATTTTTAAGCTTTAATACGTTTAATACACACAAACACAAGAGAAAAATTCCTACATGTTATGAAATAATAAAATAATGTATATGAATGGCTATTTTGCCCTCGATGTATTTGTATTATTACAAATTGTGCCATCAGGAGTTTCCTATAAATAGGAGCTTCAGTTATAATGAAAAACACACCTAAGAGAATACATTTTCTCTATTCTC